CGTCCTGCTCCCACTTTTCCATTCTCTCATTCCATATTTTCTTTAATTACTGTTATTGAGATTATTGCTGATATATACTCCAATGAGGGGCCTTTATGTACTGTCAGATTGTTACTATTGTACCCATACTTATGGTGGATGTGCCTAGATGTCTTCAATGATGGAAATATTGTACTTGTTTTCGGTTTTCCTTTTTCCTCCCGTGCATTTCAGGGAGGTGTTTGTATTTTATTCAAATTAAAATCTATTAAAAGAGAAACAAAACCTGACAATTTTGAAAAAAAAAAACAATATTTTGGACTTTTTGCTATTAAACATGCCAAATAAAAAAAAAAATTTAAAAATCTAATTTTGTCATAAATTTAGGCCAAAATGTATTCTGCTCCATGTCTTTGCTAATAAAAAATCCCAATACGTGTAAACTCATTTTTTTTTAACTACAACGAAAAACCCGTAAGTGATCACAAAAAAAGTGCAAGTGCGAACACCACACGAAAAAGTGCACTTAGGGGTGTGTTTGTCCTACCCCCGAAAGGGTTGGACCGTTCGCCTGATCCCCCGGGGCACGAAGCTCCTGACAGGGACAAGGTTCCCATTTGGTCCTCCTGGCCAAAAGGCCTGGTGGACCACCGTTCCTTATGCCCAGTCGAAGCCGGACATCCAGTACTAGGCGAGGGGGTTCTCCCGAAGAGAAAACCCCCTAGGGATCAGGGGAGGAAGGAACCGTATGGCCACACATCCTCCCCCTAGACTTCAGGTAAGGCCCGAGGACCCACACCCTCCATCCGTGAAAAAACACACACATAAGAACAGAAAAAGTGACAAAACGTGGGAGTGGTAAATAAATAGAAAATAAAAAAGTGGTACCGTGCCTAATAGTGCACAGACCAGGCCCTGAGGCCTGTAGCAAAAATTGCCCCGGACTTAGCCAAAAGACCTGGTCCTTAGGGCGCTGTGCAAAAAGAAGTGAAAAACAGTGGCCATGTGTCATCTTCACACCGTGGGGTCCCACACCCAAGTGTTACTAGTGACACCCCTGAGAGCGTCTTCCCCAGGGGGCACTGAGTTTGCGGACTTTTTGCGTCCCCAGCCTCCGGCCAGACCAAGGTAGCATGTTCAGATCAGGAGGTACTGGGTCTTTCCGGTCTCCCCAGAGGAATTACTCCCAAGGCCCCAGAACGAATCATGGCGCTCCCTGGTTTCTGTCCCTCCGGTACTAGCCTTCCGGACCCCCATCATACCAGTGAGGGTACTATCCAACAACCATCCCCGTAAACTAGAATGGTCGGGAGCACCCCCACTGGACACTGATAAGAACAGATACTACACTTGATCTTAGCCAAAAGGCCGAGAAGCGATAATACGTGTAAACTCATTGGTTTACGTGAAAGTTATAGCGTTTACAAATGGCGTATATATACTGGGACTTGAATTTTTTTTATACTAGTAACGGCGGCAATCAGCGACTTATAGAGGGACCGCGGTGGGCATTCTGACACTGGGGGGAACTGCCCAACTGCCACTGACATCCCCAGTGACACTAATACAGTGATCAGTGCTAATAAAAAGCACTGACGCTGTACTAATGACATTGGGCAGGAAGGAGTTAACATGTGGGGCGATCAAAGGGTTACGTGTGTGCGTTTGCTAGGGAGACATGCTGCTCTGCTGTGCAGAGAGATACAAAGCAGCATGCCCATGCTGGCAGTAGAGAGACCTGTGTTGTTACACACAGGTGTCTCCCCTGTCAGCTTTTCCCGATGATTGCCGGCCAGGACCCGGTGACTGACATCCCTAGTCATCAATAGCAGCGCAGGTAGGGCGGCATGCGCGCCACCTACCCGGAAATGCAAAACATGTATATATACTTAACCACTTGCCGTCCGCCTGCTGTTTATAAACGGCAGGGCGGTGGCAGTCCAGAGGCGGGTTGCCATTCATAAATGGTACCCGCCTTTCCTAGCTGTGCGTGCTCCCTGAGAGCGCGCAGCACCGCAATCCGGTGCCCGCTGTGTCCTCCGGACACAGTGAAACACCGATCATCGGACGGGACCTCTGTACGAGGTCCTGATCATGTGATCACTGATTGGCCAATCAGTGATCACATGCAAAGTAGTAAGCAAGATGTCACTTGTGACATCATTGCTTACTACGTGGGAAATCTGTGAATGATCACAGAGGTCACATGGTACAAGGCTAGTCACAACAGCCTTGTACCATGTGACAAGCTGTGACCAATCACAGCTCACTCAGTAGTTCTCAATGGCTGCAAGAATGCAGACAGAGAGAAAGAGAAATGATTGCTTTTACATCCTATATGGGTGTAAAAGCAATCAGTGTAAAAAAAAAAAATCTTCATCACCCCCCCACAAGTAGTATAGTGTCACCATGGTGACACTGTACTGCTAGGGTGACAGTATGTAAAAAAAAAATAAAAATAAAAAATAATATAAAAAAATAAAATAAAAATGTAAAAAAAAATGTTTAAAAATTATAATTTTTGGTTATAAACTAATTTGGATTTTTTTTTTACTAAAAAAATAACGGAATAAATTTTGGCCAAGATTTATGATGAAATATTATTTATTTGCTACATTTTATAAAAAAAAAAAAAACACTTTTTTTCAAAATTTTGGGACTTTTTCATTTACATAGCAAAAAAAAAAAAATCCCAGCGGTGAATAAATACCACCAAAATAAAGCTTTATCTGTCTCACAAAAATGGCAAAAAATTCATATGGGTACAGTGTTGCATGACCGCGCAATTGTCATTCAAAGTGTGATAGCGCTGAAAGCTGAAAATTGCCCTGGACAGGAAGGGGGTAAAAGTGTCCGGACAGGAGGTGGTTAATTATGTGCAGCCCTGCCCCCTACTATAGGGTGACAGGCAAGCAGTTAAAAGCTCCTGCAGTGGATCGCTTTTTTAACCATGAATAATGGGCCTATAACTATTGCTCTCACTCCAGCATGCACAGCAACATGTAACATGTATTGCAAACAACATTTTCGTGCGCTGGCGCCTTCTACGCTTGTATTCACATGTACGTTCATCAGTGCGTTATGTGTGGGGGGGATCAAAACATTTTTTGGAGGGGGTTTAAGTGCGTACATTTTTTTTTCACTAAACTTTTTCTACCATTTTGGTGACAGAGTTGCTTTAATGGTCTTTTAGACCTCTGATGTCTTACCTGCAAATGGAAGCGCAGATCGCACCCCATTAGCTTCTTCTTCCGCCATACAGGTTGGGAGATGTGACACCGGGATCAGAAAGTAGTGTTTTACACGCTGCCTCCAGGTCATTAGCAGGAAGGGGCAATCGCTAATCTCCCTCCACTCTACCCAGAGGCGTCCCTAGCGTTGGTGTCACCTGGTGCGGTAACATGTGGTGTCACCCCTCCAGAGAGGAAGGAGCGGTGCCGGTGTAGCGGTAAAATGAGTATCCCTTGAAGATATGTATCCCCGGAAGCAACTGCGCATGTGCCGGTTTCAGGCCGAAGAAGTCGATCTCCGGCTTTAGCACAGAGCTGGTGATCAGCTTCTTCGGCCTGAAACCAGCACATGCGCAGTTGCTTTAGGGGATACATATCTTCAAGGGATACTCATTTTACCGCTACACCAGGGCGGGGGCAGCCATCACTGTGCAGGCATCCTACTCCTGCACCCCCTGTGATGGTGTCACCCGGTGTGGCCCGCACCCCCTAGGGACGCCACTGACTCTACCTAGTGGCACCTGTCATGCTGGTCCCAGGTCAGCCGATCAGCACGCCCCTCATGTTGGATTGCTTTCATCTGACAGCCACCAGTTTGTGTAAAAGCCTCCCCCCCACCACCTATGTAAGGTACAGTATATGGTTGTGGCAGTTAAGTCTCTGGTCACACTGAATACGAATTGGCATGCCATGTGACTTGCAAATCACATGCAAAGTCGCACCCTATTGTCCGCAGTTACAGCGGTCATATCCGTGCGGTTCCGACTTGGTCGGAGCCGCACCGATTTCTAAACTAGTGCATGCGCTACTTTTGGTGCGATTTGCATAGACATCTGTGTCCGATCTCTTGCAAATCGCACCTGAAATCGGCATGTTTCCCGGCAGTGAAATCATGCGAATTCACTGTAAGCCGCACGATTTCAAAATTGAGCTTGATGTGACCGGGGTGTAAAGGGTTAAATAATGAAGCCAATAACCACATTTAGAAGAAGCTTCCTAAACCTGTTGATGCTGACAGTACTCAAATGGTTAGCACTTCCGCCTGGCAGTACTATGGTCATTGGTTCGAGTCCCAACCACGGCACCACCTGCCTGGAGTTTGCATGTTCTCCCTGTGCCTGTGTGGGTTTCCTCTGGGTACTCCGGTTTCCTCCCACACTCCAAAGACATGCTGGTAGGGGAATTGGCTCCTGTCTAAATTGTCCCTAGTATGTGTATGTATGAATGTGAGTTAGGGACTTTAGATTGTACGCCCCTTGAGGGTTAGGGACTGATGTGACTGTACAATATATATGTAAAGTGTTGTGTAAATTGACGGCGCAATATAAGTACCTGACATCAATAAAAATAAATACTCTAAAATGAAAGCAAAAAAGTTTTGACAAAGTTTTCTTTTTACTTTAAATTTGGAGAGGAGTACTTTCAATTCCTTAGGAACTTCCACATGGCTTTACTGTCACAAGCATGGTCAGATCAGTCCCGCCATGAACAAAGAGTGGATGACATGTCCAGGCCACGTGTGTGGCGATGCGTTATGTACGTGGTCACATGACAATACAAACTCTCACCTGCAGGTGGCACTGCAGAAATGACACTTTACAGTCCCAGTTAGTTCAGGTTTACACTGGAAATGAATTGCAAATTGGTCAACATGAATCCTAACAAACAGACATTGTTGCTGCTGGAACCCGTCTCTGGGATCCTATAGGTCCACAGATGACCCCGTCTCTCTGATGTCCGAGAAAAATCACACGACATCGTCTAGGCGGGCGAGGAAGGGTGAGCGGTCATCTACTCCTTGAACTTCCACTCCTGGCGGCACATAGGGCAGTGCTGCTGTACTTGCTGGGAGTTCAGCCACTTGAGGATGCAGTGCATGTGGAAGCAGTGTGAGCAGTGACCCCACACCAACGGGCAGTCGTCTCCTGGAACCTTACCTGTGTAGGGTACAAGAAAAAATAAATAAGAATGGAATAAACAGAAAATTAAAAAAAAAGTCCTCTCCAGGTCTGTAACATACACTGCATGGATTCTTACCTGCTTCTGTACTGTTGATACAGAGAAGAACCGCTGCAGCAACAAGTTGCCAGGTCTTTCTGCTATATATACATTATCAACTACAGTATAGTGACAGAGATCCCCCTGCGCTAATACGGAACCTGATTTCTATATGCTGCTAACACCCTATCCTCTACCTAAGTGGACCAGGGGCGGACTGACCATTTGGAAACTTGGGCACTGCCCGAGGGCCCGGGGTTAGTAGGAGGCCCCATGAGATGCCCCTGGTACCTTTTTCATAGGCTTTTTTGAGTTTGGGCATGGACACAGGGGCCCCATGATCCCCTATTGCCCGGGGGCCCCCATGAGTTGTCAGTCTGCCCCTGAAGTGGACAAATATAAATGATAAAATAATGGTGTAGCGCTGATAACTATATGTGCAAACTCCACAATAAGATGAAAAACATAAATCACATAAATGAATGAATATAAATATATAAGTGATAGATCCTTCAAGATCAGTGTCTCAAACTGTGATATTATCAGTACACAAAGTGCATATGATCGAGCTGGTCCTATGCCCGGACCCTCATACAAGAAACTCAGTGCTATATACATTGAATCCCAAAATAAGGGATATGATCACAAATAAAGTGAATGATATATATATATATATATATTGTATCCACTGTATATAGCACCTAGTTTTTTGGGGTTTGGTCCCAAGTCGGACTGGGTATTGTCACTGTATTGCAGGCCATAGATGGGTCGAAAATCGGCCGATTTTTCTTTAAAAAACGAAAAAAAAAAATCGGTCGTTCAAGCGGCCGACGTTACCAGCAACGGTAAAAAAAAAAAAAAAATCTTCCAACTTTACCGATAAAAAAAATCTGCCAAAATACCGAAAAACGGCCGAACAATTAGCCCACTAACGATCTGAAAATCGGCCGATTTTATTTTCGGCCGAAAAATCGGCCGATTTTCGACCCATCTATGGCCTGATATGAGGGTCCGGGCATAGGACCAGCTTTATCATATGCACTTTGTGTCAGGGTGGATTTGATTTAAATCACTAGTCAGTAAGGCTTGATGTAAATCCTAGTTTTCTACATAAAGACTAATTCTTGCTGGTATAACTTTAATATACAAGTAGATGAAGATTTTTAGAATAACAACTTTTCATATTAGTTTTTTTATCCCCAGTTTAATAGGTTAATCATTCATATTTGGACAACTTTTCTGTTGTACTTAGGAAGGAGAAAAATAATCATTACCTTAATAATAACAATTTAAATAGATTTATTCATCTGAAACAATAACATTCCAGCATATGTGATTTGCTTAAACATCCATGTTTGGTAACTAATTTGGCTAAACAAAATATATATATTTGAAGAAACGTAGACTGTCAGCCCCTTCCTCCTCACACTTAGTTTCACTTTCTTCTTGTGCAGATCTATTCCACTCCAAACAATCAGAAAAATATTGTTTCTATTCTATTCACTGAACTTCTGAAACTTAGCAGTGAAGGGGTTGATTCTGTATTCATAGGTTTGTAGAAGTTAGGATGAAGGTCTTTTTCTTAACTCTGTTCATGTTATAACATTTTTGCTGTGAAGAAGAGGCATGTGATCTCCGCTGAGTCAAATTCAGTTTTGAGAACTGCAAAAGTAAACCAAACATCTGTGATAATATCTTGTAGGCAGAGAAACTGCCCAATAATCTTACAGAAACCTCTGGAAGAGCATGACATTGTGAATGGATTCATGGAATTTATTTACCAAAAAAATTAAACATATGCAGCCTTATTCTACATAATTAAAAAACTAATCTTTATTTCATGATGGAATAACCTTTGGATGGTAATATATTTTCCTCAAAAAGCATTTTATTTAAAAAAATCCGATTTAAATTAAAAAAAATCCGATTTTTTTTATTTTTTAAAAAAATAATTGATTTTTATCCACCCTGCTTTGTGTACTGATAATATCACAGTTTGGGACACTGTTTTTTCTTTCTGTTTTTCTAGATCTTGAAAGATCTATCACTTATATATTTATATTCATTTATGTGATTTATGTTTTTCATCTTATTATTGTGGAGTTTGCACAGTTATCAACGCTACTCCATTATTTTATCATTTATATTTGTCCACTGGTGCTAGAATTATCGCTTTTATTCTGGCATGCGCGGCGATATGTAACGTGTATCACAATCGACATTTTCATGCGTAGGTGCATGTGCTATTACTTTTGTACATGCATATATGTGAGGGCGGCTAAAAAACATTTTTTTTTTGAGGGGATGTTATGTGCTTGGGTGCAACTTTGAATATTGTACTATTAAAAAAAAAAAGTTCTACTTAACTTTTTATTTTCATTACATAGGGGACGAAAAACACCATGGGCTGTTTGGAAGCAATTGGGCCACCCGATTGCTTCCACCTGACAGGTGAGCCCGCTGCTTGCCCACAGCGGGGCAAAAGGTTGAAAAAAAAAGCTACTTGCCCAATGTCCCGGGAGAAGGGCGATACAAATTCATCATCCCTGCACTTTAATGCAGTCAAAATCTTTGATGTTGTATATAGTGCATGACTGTAGGTGTACACGGGGGCCACTACAGCTGCACATTACATACCCGGTCCTCTGCTTCCTGCTTTTCAGCACTACACAAGGCTTGTGCTTTACTGCAAACAACAGCAATTAAAAATTCCCAGCTCACTTACCAACCAGCCTGCAACCAACCAAAATGTCCTGTCTAACAGTTCACATTAAAACCAGGGATTTACTTTTCACACATTTACAAATACATGAGTAAGCTGTAGAGTCTCTTCACGGCTCCCCAGTTTTATCAGCGGTCCTAACTCTATACATTTTGAGAGCCTCCATAGTAGGAGCACCTATATAATGGATAGATTGAGGGCAGGTATGCCTGGAGGGAGCGCACCCCTCCTTAAAGGCACAGGTGCTCCTCTCACCAGTACAAACAAATGGCAAATGCCCCAACCAATAACTGTCCTTCGCAGAAAGGAGCACATTGTGCTTTACTGCTCCTTCTCACAATGAAAGACTGATGGGTCAGCTGACTCAATGACAACAATGCACCTCATGTGTCACTGATATTTTGTCTCAGCAGTTAATAGGCAGTTCGAAAGAGTCGTAGTAGTTACTCTACCTCTACTCCTACCCCTACCCAACCTCTATGTCTCCTCCTTTACCCCTACTGCTAATACTTTATCCCTACCACTACCCCACCTCCAACCCTACCCCACCCTCTATCCCACCTCCAACCCTAACCCACCTCTACCCCCTCCTCCAACCCTACCCCACCTCTAACCCACCTCCAACCCTACCCCACCTCTACCCCTCCTCCAACCCTACCCCACCTCTAACCCACCTCCAACCCTACCCCACCTCTATCCCACCTCCAACCCTACCCCACCTCTACGCCACCTCCAACCCTACCCCACCTCTACGCCACCTCCAACCCTACCCCACCTCTACCCCTCCTCCAACCCTACCCCACACCTCTATCCCACCTCCAACCCTACCCCCACCTCCAACCCTACCCCACCTCCAACCCTACCCCACCTCTACGCCACCTCCAACCCTACCCCACCTCTACGCCACCTCCAACCCTACCCCACCTCTACGCCACCTCCAACCCTACCCCACCTCTACGCCACCTCCAACCCTACCCCACCTCTACCCCTCCTCCAACTCTACCCCACCTCTACCCCTCCTCCAACCCTACCCCTCCTCCAACCCTACCCCACCTCTACGCCTCTTCCAACCCTACCCCACCTCTACCCCTCCTCCAACCCTACCCCACCTCTACCCCTCCTCCAAACCTACCCTACCTCTACCCCTCCTCCAACCCTACCCTACCCCACCTCTACGCCTCCTCCAACCCTATCCTACCTCTACCCCTACCCCTCTTCTATCCCTACCCCAACAACGCCTCTGCTACTACACATACCCAACCTCTATCCTACCTCTACCCCTACCCTATATCACTTCTACCCCTACAACTCTCCCTCCTCTGCCCCTACCCTACCTCTAGTAGCTAATCTAAAAATCTCTACATAAATCCTCAATTACAAATATGGAAGATGAGATAAAATGACACACAATATGGAAGATCAAACATGTAAAAATGTTAAAGCCACATAATTAATTAAAGGTAAATCACAGCAATAACTAAAATACATGCTCAATAAAAATACACTAATACACCACATCAATTTCTTTACAATTCTTTGTTGATCCTCCTGGCATAACTACAACCCGACAGAACATATGAAACCTTATTAGGTGCGGGAGGAGAAATTCCCTTTATGGACGCAGAAGCCGAGAGATTATAAGTTAGATCAGACAAGGAATATAAAACTAATTATTTAACGCATATTACCATGTGCTGGTATTATAGACGTGCTGAACAGCTGTGTGCGGAGATCATGGGATGTAATTCTACATCAATGGCGGCGGTGGCATGTATGGGATTCCCCGCGGCCCTAACCGTTTATCCTCATTCTGTAATAATGTCTTTACATGTGATTAGGCTGAATACTGCGCTCTATACACAGATCACCTGTGGCAACCAAAGAAATGTGAAGCAATCGCTGGTCTGGAAAGACACGAAGGGCTCATTCACACCCAGTGCATACCAGTAAAAACACATTACCGCAACGCATCGCAATGCAGCATATGTTGTGGTGCAATTAGTTTTCAATGGTACCTCCGCAAAACACAAAAAAGTGCAACGCAACCACTACATTTTCATGTATTAACCACTTGCCCTCCAAAAGATCCCCCCCCCCCCCCCCCCCTCCTGACCAGGCCATTTTTTTCAATACGGCACTGCATTACTTTAACTGACAATTGCGCAGTCATGCAACGCTGCACCAAAAGTAAATTCAGGTCCTTTTTTCCCACAAATT